TATACGGATACGGTGAGCATGAGGATCATAACAAACATAACCCTTTTGAGAGACAGCATAACCAAGGAAAGCACACTTAACAGATTGACCAGTAAGCTTGTGGCGCTCATGAGCTGGAAGATGCACGAAACAAACACAACCAAATGTACGCAGATTGGAGTAGGACGGTAAACGACCAAACAACCGAAAGNNNNCGGTAAACGACCAAACAACCGAAAGAATGGAGAAGTATGATGTAAATTGGGAGATGGTAAACGATTAATTAAATGAACTGAAGTGGAAAGTGCTTCACACCAAAATCGAGAAGGTACAGATGCTTCAAGCAAAAGAGTTCGTACCATGTCCAGAAGGTGACGATTCTTCCTTTCAGCAACACCGTTTTGTTGCGGCGTTGATGGACAAGAACGCTGGGAGAGAATACCTTTATTTTGGAGAAATGCCTGAAACTCATTGGACATATATTCCCCCCCAGAATCAGAACGCAAGACTTTTATGCCACTAGAAAATTGAGTCTCAAGAAAAGCAAGAAAACGCTTAAAGACGGAAAAGACCTCGGCCTTGGCCCTTAAAAAATAAACCCAAGTAAAGCGACTGAAATCATCAATGAAAGTAACAAAATACTTATAACGTGCATGAGAAATAACAGGCGAAATCCCCCAAACGTCACTATGAATAATATCGAAACATTGCGAGGCACGAGATCCATGGGAGGGGAAAGGTAAAATTTTGCTTTTGCCAATTTTGCAAGCAGTACAATCAAAAGAAAAATCAAAAGAACATGCTTTAGTACCTAATAAAGCAGACCGAAATAAAGTACGAAGTACATCGGAGTTGGGGTGGCCCAAACGTTTATGCCACAATTTAGAAACAGTACTAGCAGCATTACATGCAAATGAAAGTAAATGAGAACTAGGGGAAGGAGAAATATGCAAGGGAAAGAGTCGGCCCACTTTAGGCCCCGTCGCGATCGTCTTCCCGGACACCGGATCCTGCACAGCACAACCAGAGCGAGAGAAATGAACATCAAAATTATTATCGACTAATTGGCCAACCGAAATTAAATTTGTAGAGAGGTGAGGAGACACAAAAACATTAGTTAAGGAAGAGGAAAGATCACCAACAGCGCTGATCGGCAGAGTACTGCCATTAGCGGTGTGAATTTTGAGATTCCCTTCATATTTTCTTACATTGGAAAGAGGACTAACGATATTGGTCATGTGGTTAGAGGCTCCGGAGTCAAAGAACCAAGGCTTAGAAGAGGCGATATTACCTGAGAGGCCAAAAGCAGAGAAGGCAGAATTGATCATTTGCTGCACCATTTCAGGGGTGAGAGTGGATGCAGAAGCGGGACTAGGAACAACGTGCGAGGCAGCAGGCAATGTAGCAAAACTAGAGGCACCGGTGGAGGCATGATATGCAGTGGTATGCCTCTTTTCAGGTCGAATGGGACAAACAGAGATGTGATGACCCGAGTTCTTGCAGTAATGACAGTATTTCTTAGGACAATCTCGAGCAATGTGACCAAAACCTCTACATTTATGGCACTGGACAGCGCGCATGTCTCGACCCTTATTCCTTCCTTGTGCTGCATAAGCCACAGCAACGGGACCACCAACAGTATCCCTATGTTCCATGGTAGCCTGGGTAACTATACGTTGTTCCTCACGAAGAAGTTCACCTAAACAAGTATCCAAAGATGGGACGGGGTGACGGTTCATCAAATTAGATCGTACAACCTCAAAATCGGGACGTAGCTTCATCAAGAATTGATCCCTCTTGCTTGTCTCATGCACTGTTTGAACAACAGATAGAGCTTCAACAGGAACATTAGCATAAATAATATCTGAATATTCAGCCCAAAGATTTTGGAAACCCGAAAAATAGTCTTCAATCGATAGACTTCCCTGTGTAAAGTTAGCCATCTCATACTCCAATTGAAAACGTCTAGCGGTATTGTTCTGTTTGTAAACCTTGCTAAGATAAGCCCACATATCAGCAGCAGTTCTGTAAGGCCTCAGATTGAGAATGAATTGAGGCTCAACGGAACTAAGGATCCAGGTCATAACCCGAGCATCCTTAATTTCCCACTGCGACAAAGCATCGGTATCTTTTGGAGCGGGATCACTTCCATCAAGATGACCCCATAACTCTTTTCCTTTGACAAATAATTGAAATTGGAACTCCCAAGCTGAGTAATTTTTGCCATTAAATCGAATAAGAGATGAGTCTAACTTGTCAGATGACATGATGAGATGAAATAGGCAACCCAAGAAAAAGGCCCAATAATTAAATAACCAACCACAGGCCCAAATGATTAAAAAAAACAGCAAGAAGAGGCCCAAATTAAGTAGCCAAGCCCACAGCCACACACGAAGAGAAGAACCTGAACCAGCGAACCCGTGACAATCTAGAAGAAGCCCGACGACGACACGCGAAGAAGAAGAACCAGCGACACAGCCTAACGAATCGGCAAGAGAGAGCACTCCCCTAAACCTGAAAATCGCAAAAGAAGACCGGAAATCACACCGGAATTGGAGAGGCGTCGAAAGCAAGAGGAAGACCTGGGAATAACAAACCCACGACCAGCCCTAACACCGAATCAGGAAGGTCCGAGCGAGAGAGAAGAAATTACAGCCGGTAAGAACTCAGTAACCTAGCTCTGATACCATGTCAAAAAGGGGCTGAACAAATT